TCTTAATGGCTGTATCCGAGTTGCGGTCAGAGACGATTTTTGAAATAAGGACATATAAAAAAAAAACTAATAACTATTCAGATTATTTTGATTTTTCGCAGTTGTGGAAAAAATGTTAATATTTATCTGTTCGTATTCATGTGAATTATATCTCAAAAATCTAAAATAATATTAACCATGATTCCAAATTTTTTTTGGAAGTATATAAGAACTCTCAAGTCTAACAAATCAAGTATCCCATCCTCTGTTAAGTGGGATGATGTAGTTGCAGATAATATTGAGAATACCTCGAAGTTATTTGCTAATTATTTTTCTTCAGTGTATTCGTGTAATAATATCCCTATTATGCCTCAAGAACTACCGTATACAAATTATTGTCAGGATCATAATTTAAATTCGTGGGTTATCTTTGAAACAGAAATATTAGATTCATTTGGCTCGTTAAATCAAGCAAGTGGAGCGGGACCTGATAGCTTACCACCCATATTTTTAACATCTTGTCTTCCTGTACTTATCAAATCTCTTCATTATTTGTTTAATCGATCTCTTTCTATCGGCGTATTTCCTCATTTTTGGAAGAAATCATATATTACACCTACCTTTAAATCCGGCGATAGAAGTAATGTTACGAATTATAGACCTATATCCAAATTATCAATTATTCTGAAGGCTTTTGAAGCGATAATCACTAAAAAGTTATCATATTTAATCTCTAAAAACATATCTATCCATCAGCATGGCTTTCTTTCTAAACATTCTATTCAAACTAATTTGATATTTAAAAATTTCCTAACTAAATCTGTAGATAAAGGATATCAAGTAGATACTATCTTACGGATTTTCAAAAAGCGTTTGACAAAGTTAATCATACATTATTGTACCATAAATTAATAGCCTTCGGATTTGGGGGCAACTTTCTTGAATGGCTCTACTCTACCTTACTAATCGTACTCAATCAGTAAAAATCTCGTTTTACTATTCAGATGAGTATGCGGTGACCTCGGGTGTTCCTCAGGGCTCTCACCTAGGACCGTTATTATTCTTAATTTTTATTAATAATCTCTCATTGGTCCTTGATACTAACATTAATATTTTGTTGTTCGCAGATGATGCAAAATTATACTTTGATATTAAATCAATTAATGATGCAAATAGGTTAGAATCCAATCTTAATACATTTTTTCAATGGAGTGAACGAAATTTGCTTCCACTAAACATTAGTAAATGCCAAGTTATATCCTTTTCACGTAATAAAAATCCAATTATATTTCAATATCAAATCAATAACCATTATCTGGATAGAGTTTATACTGTTAGAGCTTTGGGTATCTACTTTGAGAATGACTTGTCATTTAAACTAAATCATAGTATAATTATTATTTAATAAATATATATATTATTAATAAATCACTTAAAATGCTTGGTTTCATAAATAGAAGCACTAAAGAATTTAAAAACCCTTTATATGTCGTTAATGAGATCTAATCTTGAATTTGGTTCAATTATTTGGGCTTAAAATTATTTTAAATATATTAATGATCTAGATAATGTTCAATATAAATTCTTGAAAAGAATTTCGTATATAACTAATATACATATAACTAGAAATACCGTTCATATTATTGAAAAAGGTCTGAGCCTAGACTCTCTTAATGTCAAGCTTCAAATAGCTGACATTATGTTATTATACGATATTTTAAACAACCTCATAGACTGTCCTGACATATTATTTGAAATTGGGTTTCACGTTCATAGTATAAACACAAGGAACATGGATCTTTTCATTATTCTTAAGTATAATACCAATAGTGGGAATAGTACGTTCTTTTCAAGAGCTCTTGTTTTTGCCAATAAAATATCAACTAAATTAGATTTTTTTGTACTTTTTCGTAACATATTTAGAATTAAGGCTTTAGAATTAATAAGATCATTATAGTATTAGTATTTTGTATCATTATAATATTAATTAATTAAGTTTTTAATTTACCTCATTGTTTTATATACACATGTTATTACAACAGTTGTTAAAATATTGTAAAAAGGGCATTACCCGTTAATCTATAAATAAATAAATAACAGTTGCGGTTACGCGAATTGTAGGTAATATCCTAGTTACGGTTATATACCTATTACTTATCTGTAAAGTTTGTAAATAAAATAAATAAAATTGTACAGTGGCGTACATATAACTTTTGTATGGAGGGAATCAATCGCAAACAAATCAATATGGAAGAAAAATTCCCAAACCAAAGGACTTGCACTTTCAAAATAATAAATTATAATAAATAATAAATATATATATATTGGATGTGTCAAAATAATAATTTAAAATAAATCATAGAAATATTTTTTTGTTTCCTTATAATTTCCTTACATTAAGAATACTATTTTATAGAATTTTTAAAAGACCTATAGGGGGATCTGACTCCCACATCGCCCCTTGCATACGCCCCTGCAATAGTAATATAATCATGAACTAGATGATCACCAATCAATGATACGGCAAAAGGTTAATTACAGTATTAAACGTAAAGCAGTGGAGCAGTTGAGCGAGCGTCCCTCCAAAATTTTTTATTCTGAGATTTCAAGTACAGAACTCAGTGTACTGGGGTTAAATGGCGTTATATTGATTAGAAAAAATATTCACATTGCAAGAATAAATTTTCACCCGAAGTTGCCGCGTGACTTTTCATAATTACTACGGCAATTTCAAACCTACACAATAAAAATAGTGTAGACAGTCCTAAGTCTGTTTATAAAATGGAAAGAAAAATGTAGAAACTTTTTTGTAAATAAAATAGTATGGTATATGCCATGTATACTAGATATATATTTTGAGTGAACGCAACTAGTATGTAACCTTTTTGTTAGGTGACCGCAACTAGTATACACCGATCTTAATATACTGATGAATATATATTTTAATATTTTTAACAATATAGTATATTAGTATATTATACTTTTAAAATAAAGTGCACTTAAAAAACACAAAAAAACCATAACAGAAATGTATAGTATTGTTTTAATAATGATCATTGATAAAAATGTAACTGTTGATAACTAATGAAACTATGATTTATAAAACAAAAGTTTTTTAAACATCGAATAAACGCATATTATAATTAGGTATTTGAAGATGTATTTGAAATTTTAAACTCACATGCCCATACACCAAACAATGATTTGTAAAAAGTAACATTGTTGTAAAAAAAATAAGAAAGTTGTTCGAAGAAAAATGTAATTAAATAACCATCATGTTATTTCATTAGTGATTTTGTAAGAGCATATAATGTATAATTTTTTACGTTATTTACTCTTTGATTCTGCGTAAATACTAGAATCGTTACCAATAAAACGTTGGTGTTCAGTTGGGCTTCTAAACGATTCTACTGTTAAATGCATAGAACATCAGTATCCAATTAAATTGGGGCATAAAGGCTGTGTAGCTATTATTGTATTCCACATCTGTATTAGCCCTTTGTGTAATTGTATTGGATGCGGACACGATAAATTTAGAGTTGACGTACAGACGCAGAGAGATCCAGATATGTGACACGTTGGGCGGACGAGAACTCACTGCCAAAATCGGGCTCTAGAGGAGTACCTAAATATTTGATACAAAATATAACAGTACAGCGAAGAAGGATAAGTGCACGCACACGCAAATTATTCAAAATTATTATAATCGTTTTACATAGCGGACGTGGACCGTAGATTGATCATGGAAAATCGATAAGCGACGATCGATTTGTTAGGTTATTGATAGTAGATGGTTACATTTTATCGACGGATTGGAAAAAAAAATTGTAATAGGTTTCTATGTCGTTTATAAAATCCATATAAATTGTGACACACCTTGTTAATATTTGACGAATTATGTTATTACTTTTATCATCGTTCAAAATTATAATTATGAAATCTACTACCTGGTGTATTTCTATAAATGTATTCATCTTATATTCCTTTTATCCAAACACATACTACAGAAGTATATTTAATTAATTATAATACAAAGCGTGTATTTGAACCGACCGTTTTATTAGGTTATATGTTTTGGACATTCATAAATATAAATATATTATGAGTAGTGTTAAAACAACAAGAACCAATAACATAAAATGCAGGTCACAGGAAGTACAAGACACATAAAAAAATGAATGCATATTAATTTCGTAATAGGAAATAGTTAATATAACGTTTTGGGATATAAGAAAACAATTGTAAAATAATCAATACCGTTAACTAGCATGTGAGCAATAATGATGTTAATAATTACGTTAAGCAAATTTATAAAAGGGAGAGGACATGAAAAGGAAGGGGCTCCTGTGACGGTCGTGTCGCTCGACCATTACGGAAACATATGCGTTGTATTGAGTTACCATAAATCAAGTCGTTCGTCTGTGTTAGTACGTACGATTTGATCGGCGTATACGACATATGTATGTATACTTACTAAATATTATTATTTCATAATGGCTGTTGCCTCTTGGTTATTTGGCGTGAGAACAATTTTTTTTTTCTCCCGAAGAATGAGTTCTTATAACGGATAGACGTATCTAGAAGGACGCTGTTGCGGCGGATCAGATACGACGACGACGGCAGAATGCATTAATATTGTTATCGCGTGTCGAATTTGTTTTACATAAATTTACATTTTGTGTGCGGCACACGAACGAGAGACCCCCGCCAACGTTGTCCGGTCCGCGGCGAAAGCCCCTACCCTCTCGGCCAACGGCCATGTTCGGTCGAAACCAGTAGTTTTTCGTCAGACCTGTCCGCCGGAATCGTTTATAGGATTATTACGCAGCACCGTACACAATATATTATGCTTACATGACGCAACACCGTTGATTATTAATCAAAATCTGTTACGACGAAATCAACGGTAATAACACGTTGACGTATTCTGTCCTGCGTACCTATATAGGTTATACTAACCTAACCAACGTATAATATCGATATGGTACGAACGCGTCAACTAAACTTCGCGCAACACTTACCTGGTTCGTGTCTGTGCGACGTGTACGGTCCACTGTAACATCTGTGATTTGATTCGAACTTGACTTGGGAGGCGGTAAGAACAGGGCCGGCGAAAGCTATGGACGACTTGCCCAGGGTGCCATACTGAAAACTATTTTTATCTAATTTATCTTTTAACATGCATTAACAACCTACAGGTAGTAAGAATATAACAGTTGTACCTTTTACTTCAATACTGCGTCGAGACCGTTGGTTTTGATGTAAAAATAATGCAACATACTGCATACCACCGCATCTGTGTGTGTAAATAAAATATAATATAGACAGTCGTAATAATTATTTTCATCAAAAATTTACCTATTTATAAATAAATTCATATAATTAAGCGATTACGTAAAACCGTCCGGACCTTACGACGAAAATACCGCGGTGTGGCGTAAATCAAAAAGACACAGTTGCCTGACACACACAATTTATTGTTTTTGACGAGCTCTCGCTACGTACGTACGTGCTGTGTAATGTCAAATGTGTAAGCTAATAAGTAACAGTCAACAGGTTATCAATGTTCATATTTTTTGTATTCATATTTTATAGGCAGTGGTGGCGTGAAATAATATATTCCTCGAAAAATCTTTCATAAAGTAAAAAAACGCCAAACTTAAAATTAGAACTATTATATTCTTGCAACGAAAAAAAAACCTGTCCACATAATGCACTGATATAAAAACCAAATTAAAATACTAAATACATTCGAATTTTATTTAAACTAACTCACTAAAAAATTTAATTTCACTACTACTCAAACTAAGTGGTTTGGAGGGGAGGGTGCCAAAACAAGGTTTCGCTTAAGGCGTTAATTACTTTTAATGCCGGCCCTGGGTAAGAGGGATATGCATACCGAATTCGTTCGACAACTATTACGTTTTTTTAGTAACTCCTCCACTGATATACGTACTTATACCGTATGCGGCGACAATGATGTCGGGATATTAGTTGTGTTTATAATATCGTAGCTCGCAGATGATTTTCGCTGTTGCTAACATTGTCGGTAACGGTGGAAAAATATAATCATAAAAAACGTCCGACAACTGTGTACACAACCCTGCAACGACAACCGAAAAGATGGAAAATGAAATAAAACCGAACTCGCGGACGGACAATATGCCCGATATTCCGTCAAATGCATCGACGACTGTAAAAAAATCATCAAGTACGCATGCGACCGGAGCACGTAACGTCAATTGAATTCGATTATACATAGTGGTTTTTTTTTTTTTTTAGAAGAAGAATTCGGACGGAATAGAAGTGAAAAGAGAGAAACAAAAACCCAGCCGTCGATTCCCTCGGTACGATTCCGGTTATAGGTTATTATCTATTAGCGATATTGCCACCGCGTTTACGTCCGACCTCGTAAATCATGCGCATAAATATATTATTATGTAAGACGTATAAAGTTGCGCGCACGGCGGTCGTAAAAACTCGAGTTCGGAGGGTTCCCGGGTGACGTTAGAACAACCGTCGTGTACGTTACTCATGATTGATATTTCTCCACTCGGATAATCGTCGGGCCGACGCTGCGTGGGAAACATCTCGTGACGGCCACGGCAGCACACGGTCCCCGAGTCCATTACGTACCGGTGCAGGTACGATCGGCGTAACGCACGAAAACCGTTAACGACGGGACGCGCGTCACGACCCCGTCGGGAAATCATACGCGAAACGGTTGCGGCCGCCGTACGCGCGTGCTGTTGCGCGCGGGAAATTCGCGCACGCGTAAACGCGTTATCCGCGGCGACCGGTGCCGCGTTAAGCCGTGTAGCCTCCCCGGGGCTAATTTAAATATAACCCGCCCTTAAGAAAATTACAATTCGAAATTATGTACACCGCACTATTAATTACGGTCAGTGCCGTATTAACGGATAGCATAGAAGTGTACTATTTACGTATTTACGAATCATTAATATCTATATCATTTATATTTTAAACGTAATAAAACGTAATAATTATAAATTTAAAAAATTACCATATGTGACAAAATATAACCATTCATTACTTTTTATACTATTTTTTTTTTTTATATTTGATTTGATAGTCCCAAACTGGTGAATAACTTCTGACCAATCAGTCTGTTTTAAAAGATCATCTTCTATGTTTAATATTGAAAGCGATGACACACAATCATACAAGAAAAACTATAATTATATATTTTCTATTATATGTTGATCCTCAAAAATTTGCCGCCCCATCAAACATCATAAAATTTCCCACTCCTGGGGCAATCGTCTCCCCTTACCCCTTCCCGTAAAACGTGATGATTAACCGTTAACATCGGTCGAATTATTTCCCGATCGGCGCGCCCAAACGGAAGACCGGAAACACGTCGTTTTAGTACCAAAATCGTAACGTACTTGTTATATGACCTGTTTTTCCGACGGGCGTTCAGCGATCGATTTACATGTATAATAGGTTCGTTCGAAAAAAATGATTTTATTTTATTTCGAAATCGCAACGGTGCGGAAAAGTTGTGGTTCGGTATCCCGAATGAGAGAAAAATAATTAAAAAAATCGGTGTGCGCATCGGGCTTAAAGTTTGATAAAAAAAAAACACTCAGAAACCGAACATTTTGACGATTTCATTAAAAATATTGAATTAATATTTTTAAAATGTTTACAGTATTAAAGAGCTTTTTAATACAAAATTTATACAAAAGTTCGAGTTTATTAATTTTTCGTGACACATTCAATGCGCAGAGAGAATCGTAAAGCTGGAGTTAACAAAAAAAAGTATGTGGAGAAAAATATAGACGGTTATAAGGGTAACGCCTTCATTCAATTGTAAAAAAAAAAATTCAAAAAATGTCAAAATTTTCGGAGGATGCTTAAAAAGTAACCACATATCTGTGTACTGTTTTTAAATGATCAATATATTTTAAAAATATTAATTTTAATAATTTTTATGAAGTTGTCAATTTTTCTAGTTTACGACTGTTGTTTTTTTTCAAACTTTAAGCCCGATGCGCGAACTGATGAAATAAACTTGGACTTTTTTTTTATTATATTTTCCTCATTTGGGATACCAAACTGCAAATTTTCCGCAATACTACAATTCCGAATTACAAAAATGATTTTTTCGACCCAACCTAATGTACATTGTGTCACTGTTGAGGTCGACAATTTCCAAAAACGTAAGTTTACAGTGTAAACTTTACACGTTTTCGTTGGATCTGAGAATACATACGATAACAGCGGACAACATAAAACCTATTACAAAAGGATCGTACGTCTGCAGGGTTATGAGCTCGTATTGAGATTGATCACGATTGGACTTGTACGGTGGAAATAAAGTTAAGTGACGGCGAACCGTTGTCCATCGTGTACCGCGTTTACAGGTTCTTCCCGTACACGTCTGCAAACGTTCACTTAAAATGTTTGACGCGCAGAACTTTTGATCGTTTCGGAAACAAATTGTAGTACACCGAGGTGTGTTTCCGAAAAACGGAACTCGACGAACGATCCGCAGAGACGACTGCGGTTCAATTGACCGCACATGTTATAGCGTGTGCACGCGACATAGGTACACGAACGACAACCGATTGGATTGGATTCGACGGTGTTTTCGGTTTCACGATATCAATGATCTCGGTGCGCGCAACGACAAACGTCATACGCTTGTACGCGACCGCACGCCAACATATAAATTATACAAGTATAGAATACAAGTACGGTGTACAAGTGTACACGTCATTATGCTTGATTTGATAGTAATAATGTGCGGTAGCAAACGTTTCGTACGCAACATCGGTTACGACGTGACGTCGTCCGTTAATGTATCGAAAAAAAACTTAAGCTCCGGTCGGGTGTCCCACGTTCGCGGAGTAACAGGCATACTTGGGCGTGGGGGGGGGGGGGTAGCAGCGGGTAGACGTTTAACACGACAGCGCACACGTCACGCGGGCGGCACGATGCGAAACATCGGTTCGGATAAAGACTCGAAAATCGTGGTTAGGTCGGCGGAGACGTCGTTATTGTACGGCCGTCGATTAATGCTACCGGTTTTGTACTTGTCTCGACCAACAGCTATAATGATATTAATGTACGTTCACGTGTAGGCGGTTACGAGAAACGCGGATTACGAGCGGCGTTACGAGCATCGCGTCCTGCGCTCAGTGCGTTCGCGAAACGAGATAACTTAAACTAAACGCGTAACGATACGCAATATGCGGACCGCAGACGTGTACGACAAACGATGTGCTCACCGTTCACTTCGAATTGACGGTGGGGAGAGTTATGTTCAGTTAGTTCACGAAAAACTAGTGGGTATCGCGGTAGCCGACTCGAAATTACTTTGACCGTAAACCGCCAACGGTAACCGCATTTCAATAATCCGCTAGCAGACGCGTTCGTTTACTGACCGCGGTAACCGTCAGAGTTCTTCCGATCACCCGTACGTGTTTCATATATATTATTGTTATTGCACTGGCGTCAAACATTTCGTACGCACGCGACCGACCGCACGATTGTCCATCATTCGAAACGCAAATTGCGCTTGTTGGCGGTAACTTGAATCGGATGGTAGGAGCTCTTCTACCGACGACGTTAAATCTAAAGAGCAACACCGCCTGATATTCGACTGTTAACTTTTTTAATCTTCGATCTCGAAGGCCGACGCGAAACGCGTTGATATTGTAGTGGTGCACGGGAGCTACGTATATTTTACATGACGTGTTTCAATTTTTAAGCTGTTACAATACACTACGATAACGTTCTTGAGATTTTACGTGTTACATTTTTTGCGATAAGATATCACGATTATTTGCCGTATTTAGGGGGATCTACAGGGTGATGCTGCCCCAGGTGGCTGAATGTAAGAGGGCGGCTAATTTTTTATATTTTCAATATTTAATGATCTAATATTTTTGAAGTGAAACTTCTTTACAGAGTAAAAAGTGTATCTCAAAAAAAATATATATATCGCCTATCATGGTGTCACAACACACACACACACTACTCGGTAACGGTCGAGTACTGTCGATAAATCCAAAGATTTACAAACAATCTCTCCTTGTGTTGACATTGCACTTGGAATGTGTTTGTGTACACCAGCAACGAATTGTTCTTTAAAAGGATCTTTTTCAACCAGCAAAAATTTTTATTTGGTATAATGAAGCGTTTTTTTACTGTAGTCCCCTGGTGTCAAATTCCTAAATACGACCCAGATAATTAACCAACGCAAGTGAGATATACATGACGTCCCTTAACGGAACACGTGGTTTTCGCCTAATGTGCTAAATCACC